CACAAGGAGAGGCACCAAAAATTAGAATATTCTGGAGAAAGGTACTTACTTGACTTTTGATATTTCAGAAAAGTATAAAAGTGTTTGTTCAGGAAAAATATCAGGAAGTTGTTGAAGCTATGTGCACTTGTTTATTATTTAATGCCCTTTCTATTTTTAAGAACATGTAGGTGGAGAGATGCTTAGGACATGTAGGTAGGAGGTATGGCTAAGTGTTCTCAAGGTCCAAAGCACAGAATAAAATTATGTTACCTTCCAAACTCTCATTAAAAATAAAATAGTACTTGGTCATAAAATAAGTGCAGGGCAGTCCAACATAGTTCTGACTTTTCCCTAGACAAATGGTTTTGTGCTTTTCTGAAATATCAGGAATCTCAAAGTTTTTCCAAAATAATTCTTGTGTGCACCATTTTTTTTGGGGGGGTGGGGGGGTCTGATACCCTAACCATACACTTAGTCTGTTGAACCAATTCAACATGATCAAAGAGCAAATCATGGCACCTGAAATATTCAAATAAAAATCCAAATAAAGATGAGCCACATTTAATGCAGATCTATTATATTTGATATTTAAAAATTCAAATTGGCAAGGTAATTTGTTACATTTTCTAATATGGCACAATCGGGCTCATGAGATTTGGAATCCAGCTGCAGTTAGACCATTTACCTAACCCAAACTTGAACAAGTCTAACCTCTCTGAGACTGTTTCCACTTATTTAAAATATTTCTAGTGATAGAATTGGGGGGAATACAAGCTAAAAATAAACAATGTAAAATTAATGAGAACTACAAAAGATTATCCTATATAATAAAAGGCCAGCGACCATAACGGTGTAACAACCAGAATGACCGATCGACCAGTCGCTATGAGGTGCATTGACCACCTCTCAGTCCCTTCCCCCATCCCACAGACTCCGATCGCTGGATGGCCAATGGGGAACCATGGGAAACTGGGGTGGGTGCCGGCAGTGGGGCGGGACTGGGGACTGGCAAGCGGGCGGAACTACTGACCTCTTGTTCCCTTCCCGCAGCCCACAGGCTCAGATAGATCACCAGATGGCGAACAGGGAACCAGGGTGGGTGTTGGCGGCGGGGTGGGACTAGGGACTGGTGAACGGGCAGAAGATGGCCCTGATTGCAGGCTAGGCCTAGGTACCCTACCCACGCACAATTTCGTGCGCTGGGCCTCTAGTATTAATATAAGGCGTAACGACTAATATAAGATGCATTATTTTTGTCAACTTTTCACATGTGTACATCTTAAATCCTCCAAAAAATTCTATGTGCTAACGTATGCAAATGTTGCTACTCATATAAGTTGTTTTGCAATTAATTAATTCATGTCCTTTGAAAACACATTTTCAGTTGTAACTGACCTCTCAGAATAACACCCAAGTATAAATATTATGTTAAAACTTCCATGATAAATTTGGTTTTCTTTTAGGCTCCAACCATGGGAAACAAGCATTAATCTTTGATAGACCTATAAGAAATGAAGAAAATGGTTCTGACTCTCCTTCTAGTTCTTCCTGGTTGAGACTTGAACATGTACATAAAACTGAAATATGTTTTGAGATGACTTAAAGAAATAAGGAACATCCTATCAGAAAGTGAGAAATCAGATAATGTGTTTTATTCCAATTAAAACAAGTTTTACCTAAGTTTAAATACCAGTCAAAATATTTACTATCTCAACCAGAATGGCATTTTCAAGATAGTGTTTGAGAAAAAGATAATTAGCTGTTAAACAGTTCATTTACACAATAATTTAAATGTGCCTTTTTTTTTTTTTAGAAAGAGAGAAACAGCAATGTGAGAGCTTAACATCAACTGGCTGCCTCCTGTACTCCCTCCTTCAGGGATAGAGCCTGCAACCCAAGCATGTGCCCTGACCGGCAATCCAAAAGGCAACCTTGTGGTGCACAGGACAAAGCCCAACCAACTGAGCCACACCAGCCAGGGCTTGAATGTACCTTTTATATATATTTTGTTTTGTTCTGACATCAATCTGATGGCTCTTGAATTATTTTGTATCTAGACCCCAATGAACCCCATTTCATTTTTCAAAATTAGCCATACAGAAGGGATAACTTTAATATGGCTATTAGGCATCACACTCCATAGAGGTTCTGGGAAAGGACTCTCGTGAAATGGCCATTTTTCAGTTCCCCGCATCCTGACAAGATGACATATAAATTTCTCTGTGCAGATGATCAATTGATTTTGTAAAAAATATCCAGATTCTGTAATTTAAAAGCCCCTTACAAAACGGAGTCTTGTACTTCTAGACTGTTACAGGTCTAGAAGTACATGATATGAAACACTCTTCAATGGACAGTTGACTAGAAAGGCAGAGAAGTTTTTGAGAAAGAATCTAGTCCATCCCAAATAAATTCATGTCTAGGTCATATTTATGGAGGTTTTGATGAGAAAAGAATGCACTGCCCTATCTGGTTATCCTACTGACCACTCAAATTTGCTATCAGAAAGTTCTACATTTTGTATTTATAATCTCCATTCTTCCCAATGCAGGTGAATCCCATTTTCCACTCTTTAGGTCCCCCAAAATAGGCAAGAAGCAATTTCCTACGTGTAAACCCTCAGCTTCTCTGAAGCAAATAACTGTCATCTCTCAGGTTTCTCTAAATGTAATAATCCTAGTTTCCTTATCCTTTCTTAAAGAGTTCAACTTTATACATAATTCACTTTTCTGTGGCTCCTCCTCAAAGGCTATGTAATCACCTCAAGTTGTGGCACCAAAATCTAGACCTGTATTCATATCAGGGTCTGACCACGTAGCTGAAACATATGACTGTTAGTTCTATATCCGTGGCCTACACTGATTTGCCTCTGTTCAAATTGTACCAACATCACCTATAAAACCATATCCCCATGGAAAGTCAACACAAAGGAAAGAAAACAAAGCCCCAAGATACCTGTTTTCATTGCATAAAACAGAGTTAACTATGTCTTGATTCTTTAAAGCTTACTGTAGATATATCTGAAATTGTAATTTTTGGAGGTCAAAAGTTGTCATTAAAAAATTCAGGATGCAGTGTGTTAAAATTTTGATATGACATACAAGCCCAGGGGATATTTCCTTGCTTGACTTTATGTAGCTGTTATAATTAGGCACATGGTAGCAAGACTTTACAGAGTCGTGCATCTATATAATATATGACATGCCATAAGCATATTAAGTGCATTCTCTCCATTAAGTTGCTGAAGAGCCTTCCCATATATAAGCCAAATAGGACATTTATTCTCAGAGAAATTAAACTATAAACCTGATTCAAATACATATACAATTTTTAAGTGAAGGGAAGCGATGGGTAAAATAAAATGAAAGATTAAAACCAAAAATACTGATGTTTTACACTGTAGAAAATGCTTGCACTGACAATGATATTGTTAGAGACGAGATCGATGGCTGAAACTAGTCCATGTGATGAATGTAATACTACTAACACACTTTTACCTGCAAGGATTTTTCTGGCTTTAATTCAATGAAATCCATTATCCTGGGTGGTAATGGAGGCCTGTACCCTACTCATCTTAGACATCTTTAGTCTCCTGCGCTGCCCTAAAGCCTTGGCATAATAAAAGGTCAAGCAGATCCCAGTAAGCATTTGTAAACTACAATACCCGCCCCCCACCCCCCATTTAGGCTACAAGCCACACATTCTTTTGCTAAGCTTTGCTCTCTCTTATTCCATTTCACTGTATAAGCAGATTCATTTGGAAATGGCTAGGGTACTTAGGAAATACCTAGATTTTTTCAAAACAATCTCACTTTCCTACTTGACCACCTAAGTAAGTGAATCCAGAATACAACATTTGAGAGAACTCTAAAATGGTGCCTGGATACTGAAGGAATGAACAGCAAATAGCATCACTATTAAGTAAAATGAATGCATTTCACCATCCAGCTTGCCTGTGCTTTCTGGGACACAAGGCACAGACATGAAAGGGAAGGGGTAGAATTCCAAGAAAACTGATTTGTTTCCACAATCATTTGGCAAGACGCTGTACACAAAATAATACCACAAGCCACCTCCCTTTCCCATCATTGTCAAGTCCGGGTTCTCAAATCACCCCCCACAAACCTAATTAAAAATAAAGAAAAGAGGCCGGCTATGAATTCACATCGAGGGCGACGATACATATTAAATGACAGGCATCTGTCCTAATTGGTCACAACAAAACTGATGGGCAATAACAAGAATAAATCTCACATTAATCCAGATGAAGTCAATGAATAATTTCACAAACCAGAAGCATACTTTCAAAAATATCCAATTACCTCCAAGCATGCAAGGGCATTTGATAACACATAAGAATGATTGCAAAGAATGCTTTGCACATAAATATGTTTCATAAACGCACTCTAAGTGCTAAGTAATGTGTATATATGTTATGCATATCCATAGAGTATACATTTGTGTAGTCACAATGAAATGTATGCACTGAAAATGAAACTGTACCCAGCAAATGGTTTCTCAACAAGAGCACATAAGAATACGGAATAGGACGCTCAATTCTGGGGCCACCTTTCCCACGCAATGAGGGAGAGAAGCAAAATCACCTTATCATTAGACAGAGAAGCTTATGAGGAACCGAATGTGTTTTGGAGGAAGGCCTAGCCCTGAATGTGGGAGCTGCAAATGAAATGATTCCTTTCAATAACACCCATTTCTTCTTAGCTTTTTCTACCCCCTGGTTCTGTTGCTAAGCTTGGAAGGAAAGGAACCAAGTGGCTCACTCTGCATTCTAAGCCAGTTAAGATAAAATCAGAACACCATTTTTTTTTTTAAACGGGAGCGGATGCCTTCTTACTTCTCTCCTCCTGGCAACCTTCCTCTATCTCCATCCCCATCTCTGTCTCTACATCTTCTCCCACTCTAAGGGAGTCATTGTTCCAGTGCAGGCCACAGATGTATACACAGGGCATTTGGGAACAAACTAAACCAAGAAGATAGCTCCACTGTGTCTTACTCACCATGCTGAGACCCGGAGAAGCTGTTGAAAGGAGGGAGAGGTGCAAACTGAATCCATTTTCCTTGTGACCGAGTCGGACGCAGCCTCCGAACCCAACATCAGCAGCGGCTGCTGGGATTTTTTTTTTTTCGCCCTCAGTCTCTGGCTGGCGATGGTGCAAAAAGGAACCACCCTTCCAGCCCCACTAGAGTATCAGCAGTCCAGGCGGCGGCAGCACCAGCATCACCACTTGGGCCTCCTCCCTCTCGGAGGATGGGGTGAGCTCAGAAGCAGCCAGGAACTTGCAGCAGACACCTCCTCTGGCTCCTCCTCTCCTGCCCCCTCCCCCACAGCCCCTCCCCTGCTGCGGTAAGGCTGCCCGTCCCGGCAGCTGCTGGTTGTCATGGTAATAACCAATGGTAAGCGATCGGACTAAGGGGGAGGGGAGATGGGTGAAACGCTGGAGGAGCTGGAGGGGAGTGAATTTGTGCTGCTGCCCTCTGGGATGCTCTTGGGCTCTCCTATCTTGGACTCTGGCTCTTTAAAAGTGGGGCAAGGGTGCATAGGCACGGGAAGAAAATAATTTAAATTGAATCGAAATCTAGACTCTAACATACAAAACAGCTCAGCTATTTGTGCATTTTTATATGGTTTTTCCAGTGAAATGTATTAAGTTTGCGATCAGAAAAAAATATGGAGAAAATTATGTCGTGTAATAGGAAATTATTATCACTCCAGATATGTTTGTCCTTTGTAGCATCTTTTACTCAATGCCACTCAAGGTTGTTATAAAGCAAAAGGAGTGGCTGGACTTTGCAATAAAACAAGAATCTGATTCCTTGGCACTGTTCTCCCTTGTTCTTTTCAGGAGAGTTGCTTGGTCTTACTGTTTTTCCAGTTCCCCCTGTGAAGAAGTCCCAGCGTTCATTGGCACTACCCTGTGGAAAAGGAAGATGGAACAGAGGAAACAAATTCCTTGAGCAATCAGGGTTCCCAGTAGCATAAGTTGGTGGATAGTTCCAAACCTTTTTAGTTCATTTCCTGCGGTAAATTCCATGCCATTTTCATGAACGCTCTTTTGGAGGTCCCAAGGAGTGAGGTCAGCAGTATTGAGGTTTAGGTGAGTTGTCTCTGGCTATAAATTATAGATGACACTGGTATTTATCTCATGCAGTAGTTGTAAAGATCAAATGAGATAATGCACTAAAAGCACTTGGCATGTAGTATGTGTACAATAAAGATTACCAGTAGTAGTAGTACATTGTATTCATGTCTTAATCCAAGAAATTAAAGGAATAGTATGGCAGTTACAAATATGGGGAAAAGTAAGGTGAGAAAACACTTAATACATGGTATCGGTGATGATGATGATGACAATGACAAATATAGGGAGGCCTGAGAGATTAAAAGTACGTACTCTGAAGATTAAAAGATTAATGGAGGACGTTCTAAGTCCTAAAGGAGTTGGATAAATTTCCCCAATTCACACAGCTAATAAGAGGCAGAGCCAGAATTAAAACTCTGGCTCTTCTAACACTAACATCTGCTCTTGTTTAACCATTGCAGTAAACCCTTGATTTTTCGGACCTTGATTAAACAGACTTTGGATTTAACACACAAATTTTTCGCTCTGTATGTTATGTGTGAAAATTAACACCCTGTTAATTTTTAAATGCTTTTAGCCAAGATTTGCTTATGATTAAATTAACAGGTTATTTTTTTGTTATTAATTCACTGTTCTTTTAAACAAATTTTAGCGAATAGGTCATATGTTGGACAAAACATTGTAGTAATTTCACCAACATAAATAAATATGACATAGCTACAACTATAGTCTAAGTATTTAAATCCAAGAGTCACCTCTCGTAAACAATGTTCGGGGAGTGATTAGCACGTGATCACACTGCATCTCGGGGTAATTGATTCTGTTGTCACGTGGTGTGACTTTCTGCAGCAGTTTTAACAGGTGCTGGCCAATGTTTCCACGTGCGCTAAGCCACGCCCCAGCTGTGTGCATTTGTTTACTCACAGTGACTGGTGAATGCACACGTTTATTAGATCTCTTCAAAATAAATTAAAAATTATAGTAATACATATAGAAAACTTTTATGTGAAATTAAACTTTTCATACATACTTAATTTTGATTACACAAACATGCCTACATAAAGGTAAATGAACTAAGTTGTCAAATTTTTAGCATACGAATTCGGAAAACCTACTTTATTATATAGTGGACTTACAGCTTTAATAAACATCCCCTTGCCCGAATTAGTCCGTTATATTGAGGTTTTACTATACCACTCTAACAGAAAAGGAAGATATTCTGTTCTTCACCTATAGGATTATTTGTAGGTTCAAAGGGGATTAATACAAGTTTCAGAGCCAGATAGCCTGAGCTTGATTTACTATAGATATGGCATGGGGCTTGTTAATTAACTTCCCTGAACCTAGGTGTTTCACCTGTGAAATGGTGCTAATCATAGAACCTGACAGGTCATCGTGAGAATTAAATAGGATGATGCATATAGAGCATTAGCGTGGCTAGTACATAGTAAATGTTCAGTAAATATTAACTATAATCATTTGTTACTCATTCTTACGTAATTAATATGAACGTGTGAGAGGACTTTTTCCTGCATGGAAAAGGTCTTGGTGCTAGGGCCTTATTCTGACAAAACTGACTTAAAGTTATCTCATTTGTGGAGAAAAGGGTTACAGCTCACCCTGAGCACTCCTGCTCTGTGCAGCTGGTGGGCCCTACCTCCCACCAGAGCCTGAAAGTCAATCACACAGTCTGCACGCACTTCCACATCAGCATCACTGTCCGGGATTTTTGAGACTTCAACCAAAGGCTTGGCCCAGCGGTTCTCAACCTGTGGGTCGCGACCCCTTTGGCAGTCGAAGGACCCTTTCACAGGGGTCGCCTAAGACCATCCTGCATATCAGATATTTACATTACGATTCATAATGGTAGCAACATTACAGTTATGAAGTAGCAACGAAAATCATTTTATGGTTGGGTCACAACATGAGGAACTGTATTTAAAGGGCCAGAAGGTTGGGAACCACTGGCTTGGCCTGACACCAGCACTGATAATTTTGTCTGGAGAAGGTTTAATGGCCTCCCTGGAATGGGAGTAGTCTTATTTTCCTTATTAAGCCAGCAAGCATTTACAGAAGCCAGAAATAGCAGGGCTAAAATTTCAAACAGCAGTTTTTATATAAGATGGATGCTTCACTTCCAGATGAGGATTTTCCCCAAGAGTTGGTGGCTTGTTATTTTGAAACACATCCTTTTGAGAGAAGAGAGGCGAGGGCCCGCTGAGGGCAGAGTGGACCACATTTCCCACAGAAGGAAGATGCGAGCTTAGGGACAAACAAAGATCAGTTCTTTGAGTGCTATTACCTTGAGGCTACAGACCATTCAAAACGTATTCGCATACTTTGTATTTTGCAATAGTCTTTAACTTTGCTATTCACTTTTGCAGGTTTCATTATGTCCTTTGTAATCTCTCTCCTTCATTGGTCGTTATTGATCTCCTTTACGGCAATATTGCCTTACGGCCAAGCAGTTCTGCGTGGGAGATGTTTGCGGCCACGAAGCCTGGGGCAGGCGGACCTAAACCGTGAGCGCCAAGTAAGTGAAGTTCTGTCGGCATAAGGGGAGGGGATGTGATGACCCCGCTGCCTTCGCAGTGTTCATCTTCCACTGTCTCCACAGGGAAGAGCTTGTAGGTGAGCGGGGAGGACAGCTGCGGGCGGAGGAAGCGCCCTGTTCAGGGGACAGTCCTCCGCGGGCCCAATGAGGAGCGTTCGTCCAGGCCCAGCGCTGACGTGTTGGGGTGAGTGGTTCCGTTTCCTCTTACCGTCCACACAAACAGGATCCACGGGGGAGAGAAAATGTTCCCTGTTTGAACAATTCCCCCGTTTACACATTCAAACACTACCCTCTCGGTTTCCGTATCTGTGCAGCACGGTTATCATTATTTAATAATATATTTAATGATTATTTAATAACTTCTTTAGATATTTAATCATGCAGAAGTTATTTTTTATTTGACTACTTGTTACTTATTTATTTTAAAATGAAATGTGTCCCTGGCTTTAGCAGAACAGTAATAAAAATAGGCGTGGTTGCCCTAACCGGTTTGGCTCAGTGGATAGAGCGTTGGCCTGCGGACTGAAGGGTCCCAGGTTCGATTCCGGTCAAGGGCATGTGCCTTGGTTGCGGGCCAGTAGCGGGTGTGCAAGAGGCAGCTGATGGATGTTTCTAACTCTCTATTCCTCTCCCTTCCTCTCTGTAAAAAATCAATAAAAAGTATATTTTAAAAAATAGGCATGGTAGAGAGGGTATGCCCAGTAAAAGGAACTTAAAGCAAAAGCAGACCTCTTTTTTTTTTTTTTGTAAAACAGAAACTTCAACTGTGTTTGTAATGATTTCTAGTCAAAAGACTAAACTTTAAATTTTATTTCTTCTCTTCATTGCCATCCCCTCTCCTAGCATACTTTATTTTTCCATAGTATTTATCCTCTAATATATTATTTATTTGTACCTTAAAATTTTTTATCTGTGCCCACTAGAAGGTAAGCTATGAAAGGACAGAGATTTAACAATTTTTTTTCAATTACAGTTGACATACAATGTTATATTAGTTTCAGATGTACAACACAGTGATTAGACATTTGTATAATATATAAAGTGGTCAATCAGCCCAGTAAGCCTAGTGCCTATTTGACACCATACACAGCTATTACAATATTATTATTGACTATATTCCCTATGCTGTACTGTACATCCCTGGGACTGTTTTTATAACTGGCAATTTGACATCTTTTTTTTCAAATAAATCTTTATTGTTCAGATTATTACAGTTGTTCCTCTTTTTCCCCCCATAGCTCCCTTCCACCCAGTTCCCACCCCACCCCCTGTCTTTACCCCGCCCCCCCCCCCCTGCCCCCGCCACTGTCCTCATCCATAGGTGTATGATTTTTGGCCAGGCTCTTCCCACACCCCCCACTCTCCCTTCCCCCTGAGAATTGCCAGTCCACTCCCTTTCTATGCTCTTGATTCTATTCTATTCACCAGTTTATTCTGTTCATCAGATTATTTATTCACTTGATTTTTAGATTCACTTGTTGATAGATATGTATTTGTTGGTACTTTGTTGTTCATAATTTTTATCTTTACCTTTTTCTTCTTTCTCTTCTTAAAGACTACCCTTCAGCATTTCATATAATACTGGTTTGGCGGTGA